CCATACGCATGAACTACTTTTAAACAACTCATACTTGTATGAAAAGCAGTGAAGAACTTCTTCTCCTGACTGGTCCCAGAGACCATCACAGCCAGGTAAGTACAACAGTAGTAGGAGAGAGGCAAGCAATAGGTCTACATTGAAATAAGCAGTACTTATAAAGATATCCTTCTCCTCAGCCTCAGGCGAAAATGTTATATGCTGTCCAATATCTACAATTTGACAAATTATCAGGTCCATAATTCTTTGGAAAAGAGACAGGAAAGCATATATCATAAAACAAAAAACAGATCCTGTAATGTGAAGATATTAAAGTTCTTCCACTTAACAATATTTTTAAAAAAATCTGTATGAAAGTCTTAGAAAATTGTGTGCCCCACAGGGCATGTTATTCTCTAATATACTGAACAACAGGAACTTTATTCCCATTTTTATCCACAAAACCCCTTTAGCCTGAAAATCTGTCAAGAAGCTGCACTGAACAGGGACTGTGGTCTTTCCCAGTATTTCCTGATGGTAATTGATCCCACTCATGTTCTTCATTATTTTATCATGTCAGCATAGCACGTTTTTTCCCACTGCGTAACCACAGTTAATATAGTTTCCATTGTACTACAGTAGAAATCTAAGAACATAGGCTCTGAAAGCTGAAGGGGGAAGAAAGATAGGAATGAGCCATTAGTGCCTGGGCAGCCTTAGGTCTCACTTGCACAGCACAGTTGCAGTTGCCAAATTAAAAACCTTTAAGTTTACAAATATAGTTGAAAAATTCGTAAGGGATAAAAATAAAGGTCTGGCAGAATTATTTTGTGTCTTTATTGATCATTTACATTATGACTAATAAAACCCCAGATCTATGTGCTTTTCAAAATAGGAAGAATGAAATACTTTTGAAAGAATTAATGAGTCACTGCCTCTTTCAATTTCAGAACAATAATTTGGGGGGTGGGGGAAGGGAAAAAAAAATCCCATTTCTTGGTCATACCAGGTTAGTCATAAAAAGCCACCTACATTAGAGTTTGCACAAAATGAGAAGATGGCCTTTGCCCAGTTCCTGCAGATGGTGTGCACGCATCGACAAACACTTGGAATTATTCAGCATTTACTATGCAGGTTGGGACTGTGCTGGTCAGAACTTTCTATACTGAAGTCATGTGGGAAAAAGTCTAGACATCATAGATTAACTTCATCTAAAATTATTTTGTCCACAATGTGTGTTTCAATGTTTGTTGAAGGCCAAGTGTATTTTTGCTGTACTGTGAATTATGTATATGGCAGCCTAACTCATGGGGGCAGCTCTTATTAATTATAGCTACAGGATAAATTCAAATGAGCAAACTCTTTTAGTAAAAAACAACTTTTAACTTCTTCCCCTTAAAATTATCATGTCTCAGGATGTCGTGGTTTAACCCCAGCCAGCAACTAAGCACCACGCAGCCGCTCACTCACTCCCCCCCATCCAGTGGGATGGGGGAGAAAATCAGGAAAAGAAGTAAAACTCCTGGGTTGAGATAAGAACGGTTTAATAGAACAGAAAAGAAGAGACTAATAATGATAACACTAATAAAATGACAACAGTAGTAATAAAAGGATTGGAATGTACAAATGATGCGCAGGGCAACTGCTCACCCCCCGCCGACCGACACCCAGCCAGTCCCCGAGCGGCGAATCCCTGGCCCCCACTTCCCACCCAGTTCCTAAACTAGAGGGGACGTCCCATGGTATGGAATACACTGTTGGCCAGTTTGGGTCAGGTGCCCTGGCTGGGCATGAGAAGCTGAAAAATCCTTGACTGTAGTCTAAACACTACTGAGCAACAACTGAAAACATCAGTGTTATCAACATTCTTCTCATACTGAACTCAAAACATAGCACTGTACCAGCTACTAGGAAGACAGTTAACTACATCCCAGCTGAAACCAGGACACAGGACCTAGTAGAAAAACTGAAAGCACCATTGATGCTGTTAACGTCCTGATTCAAACTTCGGTGGAGCTGGATATATATCCAATATCATATTGTCACATTTTAAAGGACAATCATCATCTGAAACGTTTAACCTTAGGTTAAAACCTTAACCAAACCTAGGGTTAAAAATATTAAGTAGCCGGAGGTGCTCTGCTGAATTGTCTTCTCTGCCACCCAATAGGAAAATATCATTGTGAAATTATTTAATAATTTTTCCCCCTCACATCCTGTTGTTGGGATGCCAGCATCTTGGAAAATGTGTCTCAGCAAATGCAATGCAATGCAGTGAGAGGCTGGACACTGGAAAGCACCTGGCATACTCAGTGTCTCCCACAAGCTTCCTCTACCACACACAAAATCTGAGTTACAGAGAGACTGCGTCAGGCGGTAAATGACTCCTGTGACATTTGTTGGGGAGAACACAAGTAAACAGGAGGGGAAAAAAAGAGTATCTTCGAGACGTCAGAGCTGCAGAAGTAGAAGATGGCTCTTTTGCTGCTCTTTTGGAAGTACCTTGTAGGCTGGGCTGAAACGAGCCTCGATATACACAAATAGTGGACTTCTTTGCATACTACACAGATAGGATCTGGCAGTGTTTTTAAAAGGCAACTCTCGACATATTGCCATAGAGCTATTTATAGTCCCTTCCATCGTGCAGTGAAAACCTGACCTACTCTTCTTTTCGGGTTTGACACACGCCCGACATCTAGGTTTTTTAATCAGAAATTATGATGAAAAAACATCATAAAAGCAACATGAAAAGCAAATAACCACTTGCAAAAAAGAAAAAAAAAAAAAAGCCACAGCTGTGATAATGTCAGCAGTGAAGGTTAACCTCTAACTACAGCAGTCTGGTAAGCTTGCTCTTATAGTTGTTGAACCAGCATGCAGGGCTGGCATTCCATATCATCGTCTGTAACACTATACTGCTGGGATATGATTAGCTACTTAAGGCCATGTAATTTGCAGGGTGTAACTCCACTGACCAGAAGGAATTGAATTCTAAACCTACCCCGATACACAATGAGAAAGAGGTCTTAAACAGCCAGCAAGCAAACTCACATGCATTATAACTGCAGCCTTTTTGGCAACTGAAACCTGAGAAAATCTGGGAGAAGCTGTCTATCACAGCAAGCCAGGTCTTCTCTGAGAATACGAAGGAAAGCAGGATAACACTATTAAACAGAGCCAAAGTTAATGCAGGCCCTTATTTAGTGTAACTTTTATAAACCTATTTCTTCAGATCAACCACGGAAAACAGAATTTTCAAAAGCATTGCTCAAAGAATAAAACATCTCTTTGGTGTATATTTTGCCTGGACGGCTCCACTGGAGAAGAGCAGTAGCAGACGGGAGAACTGGCCTCCAAAACAGGCATTGTATTTAGATGCTGAGAGTAAGCACTGTGTAAACGTGCGCGTGCGAAGGCAAATCACAGCCAGTTAGACTTCATAATGGGGGAAAAAAAGTAGCATTACATCTGAAATACTGAAATCTCAGTTATTGACACCTTTGCTAATAAACATAACCAGAGATCTAGCCTAATTTGCCTGGGCATTAATTAAAGCAATGTTCGATTTACATTGATCCCCTCAAAGGCTACAAACCATCTTGCTAGCTTCCACAGCATCTTCATTTTTCCAAATAAAAATTCTTACTACCTGAGAAATCAAGTCTAGTCTCCCTGAATGAGGTTTTTGCATCTTCACCATGTTCATTCTGGGACCGTGCCCAACCCTCCAAAATAGTAAACAGTGTAGTTTATTCTTGCCAAAGCTAAAGTACATATGAACTTTTATATCACTAGGGGAAAAAAGTTCCATCTGAACTATGAAGGGTCTGTTACATGATCCACTGAAATGAATACAAATATTACTCGTCACTTAAAGTTTTAAGCCAGATATAAAAGGCTGAATCTTAAGAACTGACTTTTGTTTAGGAGAACGGGTGCTAGGAGCTAAGGGATATTTGACCTCCAGAAGTTGGGAAAGATAACTGGCCCCTTCGGTTGTCCCTAAAGTGCCAAACAAAGCTCAGATGCAGGAGATGACGAGGGCCACATATTTTCCCATTTCTCATCTTTCACAGGAAAAAAAAACCCAAACAAATAAAAAACACTCCAAAATAGGAGCATAAACTAATTGCGTATTTACCTTTTGCTGAACTCTGAGGATACTGATACCTGGATCTGAGTTTCACACCATCAGCCTGCCTCTAGTTTCTTTTTTCTAAAGTAATATCCTGTTTGAACGGATACCATCTTAAGTCTGAATACAGATCCACAACTTTCTGCAACAGCAGATCTCACAGGAACACTGTCAAGAGCAAGAGCAGAAATCTTGCAAGTTTTCACACATTTCATGCTCACAGTCTGAAAGGTTGCCATAGAAATGATGATCTGCATCATGACAAACCTCGTGGGTTTATAATTATTCACTCAAACGGGTAAGTGATTTGTAGTGGGTAAATGTTACGCTGCCAGTTGCACAAAATGCTTCATGACCAAAAGACAGTTAACTACTGCAATAAGTACGGGACACAGAGCAAACACAACCTGAACTTCAGCACTAGACAGCCCTATGCTACACAGTTACTTTTTAACAGAAGGCCATGGAAACGGATTTTTTAAAATTTCAGTTACAGCTCCCTTGCAATTCTAAATAATCTTCCTAAAAATAAAAATTTAAATCATTTAAACAGCGCACACACACACCTTGCACTGTCACATAGACTACCGCTGGTCCACAAGGCTCATTTTTGAGACCTACTAACCCTTTCTGGATAGAAAAAGCTTTTAGGAAAGTAAACACAGCCCAACCAGTTGAACTCCTCTGAGGTCGAGAGCTTAGAAGAGGGAAAGGGTAAACACGGGCTCCTGTTGTGCATGCACAGCCTGGCACTGAGCACCAAGAGCGGTTGCCATTGCTCCGGCTGGGTAGACCTGGTCCTCACACAGGGACTTCTAGCCGGGACTGTCAGTGTCAGACCCCTTGCATTTGAAACAAGCATGACAGATGTGGTTTTAATTCCTACCTGGTAAAAATAAATCTTCTCGCATTTCTGCTCTGGCTTCCTCTGAGAAGCACCGTTTTTTCAGCCACTCAGCTTCATATTCGCTTGCGTGTTCATCGGGCCATGTAATAGAGATCTTCCGACATAAAACAAAGATAATTTTAGAACAAAAAAAAATAAGCAAACCCCACCACCTAGAACAACCAAAAAACCCTTTTGAAATTGCAGAAATTGTAATATTTAGGTCAATAATATCACAGTTAAGCTTTCTCTGGAGCATAATGGCTTGTTTAAGTAATGAAAACCCAACCTGAACATCATCCAAATTCTGACACCTTTTATCAATGGTCATTTTCACATGAACCCATGACCTAATTTGCTGTTTTGTGTGGGCTGCTTTCATTGTGGGAGCTGCACTTAGCAGAAAGAGGAGAACCACAGAAGCTGGCACATATCAGTGGGTAGAGTGCTTCACCATAGCTCAGAAGAGAGCAAAAATATCTTCCAAAACACTGCCAGCTTGTTAAAAAAGAAAAAGGACAAGAAAGGCAGGCAAAAAAGAAATGCTAGGAGAGAAATCCCTCTCCTCACTTTGAAAAGTCTTCCCTCTTTCAAATAAACTTTTAAAAGGTGTTGGGTTTTTTAATTCCTGAAAAAAAACACGGAAAGAAAGCATATGGCTTTGTTTGTCATGAACTGGAAGAGCTCAGTGCAGCACATACCATCAGCTGAATTCTCAAGGCTACTGAGCAAGCATCGATTCCCATTTCACATAATTCCGCTCATTCACGTGACGGTAAAATCCCAGTATCAGTTTAGGATCAGTGCTGTGCTTTAATCAGCTCCTGAGTAGAAGTGGAAGCAGACAATTCCTCTGCTATCGTAATACATCTGCCTATTCAAAGCATGAGTTTACACGGCATTAATTTTGGTAACAAACAATCAACTCGGGAGCCCAGAGTCCCTCAGTACAGACCCTTACCGTGCGGCCGAGCCATGCTCCCACACAGGTCAGCCTCTGCAAACTCACCCTGCAGCGAGGCTGCCCCAGCTGCTACAGAGTTGACTGCTGCATCTTTAACATGTTTAAAACACCTTTCAGCGTAAAATGAAGGAAATGAGTTTGCATATCAAAGGAACCACATACTGCTTTTAATAAAACCCATAAAATCTAAATGATATATTAGGTTTTTACATGGCAGGAAAGATTAAAATTATAGGGAGGGCAGTTCCTGTCCTCTCTTGCCCAACAGCTTCCTCTTTTACATGAACAAATGTTAATGTAGCTAGGTAGATATGGAAATAGATACAGACACTAGGCCAACTCTGAGTACTGGGTTCGGCTTTGGTTTGAGTGCTTGCTCTAGGATGAAGTCTTTTGCACATTGGAAATTAGCTAATAAACTGATATTTTTGCTATGGACCAAGGTCATCATCACTTTGCCATTTGTTTTTCTGATTTTCAAGCCATTTGCTTATAGAATATAGAGGGGAAAAAAGTGTAAGTGGAATTAAATGTGTGGGGAATGCCTATATTTTCTTTTCAACACCTGGTGATGAAGAAACATACAGCAGAATTTTAAAAAGCACAATTACATTCTAAAAACCGCAGCCTGGGTTTCTGTGGCCTCTGCATAACACCTCTAAAGTTAAGTTTCCTATAAAGGCGGGAAGATCCGAGTTCCCCAAATTGCGATTATTCCTAAACGCTTTGCAAATACACGATAGGGTCTGCGGGTAAACGAACTGCCATTAAAGTATAACCTGGGACTGCCTCTAATTTACAGATTAACAAGCATCGTTAGACAAGTTTCACGAGAGGGCAAATGCAGGTCTGCTCCAAGTACCTTTTTTCTGTCTGCCAGAGCGACCTCCTTCACCACGATGTTCACGTCCAGCTCCTCGAAGACCAGCCTGCGCGCCCTGGCCGAGCGGAGGAAGCAGCGGGGACACTGGCAGTTGTCCCTCAGCCAGACGCAGGGGTAGCGGCTCTCGCTCCCGTCCTCCCACTCCACGCGGACGAAATGACCTGCATCCAGAGCTTCCACCTTCTGTATCCCCGGGGTCATGCTGAGCGGCCGGGTGGCGCGGACCCCCGGAGCAGCGTCCCGCCAGCGATGCTGAGCGGTCCCGGCGAGCGGGCTCCTGCCCTTTGGCAGGCAGCAAGCCCTCCCTCCGGGGACTTTGGCCCTCGGCAGGACGTTAGCCACCGCCCGCCACATGTGGGCTCTTTACCGAGATCCTCGGAGGGAGAACGCCTTCCTGGAGTTCCTAAAAGACCGTGAAGAGCAGTTTATTACTGAAGGAGTCAGTGCAGCAAGAAGTCCGTTTTAAGGCGATTCTCCCCTCCCTGCCTGCTACCTAGACCTTTAGGAACATTCACGACCTGTCGCTCACATTTTTTGAGGTGCGGGGGGTGTACTCAGATCCATCTATTCAAAAATCCTAGTTTAGCAGGGCTTCAATTTGATTCGTCATCTTGGCCGTCTTTTGTTTCTGCAGCCAGTTCAATACGTACCGCACAAATAGTCTCTTTTTAAAAGACACCTCGAGAGGAGTTCCTCAAATCAAAAGTAGGAGCTACTACCGACCATGTTCAAAAACTCAAGCTTTGAAGTACACATACCTTAATTCCTGCTGTGGACACTATGGAAGAGAGAACACAGAATCCACCTCCCTGCAAGGAAAAGCTTTGTAAACATGACTTGAACTACAGCAACAGAGCTCTGCAAGAGCTCCTTTCTCCTTTGACAGCCGGACTGCTTTCTATAGATATACTCTTTTATTTAAAGCTAGTTGCATACTGTACTACAGAAAGATGATACATCCAAATCTTAAATTAGAAGAGAAGTTCTGGTCTAATGTTTTTCTCATTCAGAAAAATACTTGACCTCCCCCTGAAACGATAAATCATTACATGTATTTTTAATAGAGTGTTTAACCATTTCAAATATTGCATATTTATTCAGTATCTTTTTTCTGTTGTTTTTGTTCTTAAGGTCCCAGGGCAAAATACTGATGCCCTGCCAGGACCAAAGTCTCCCCAGTTGTCTTTGCACAGGAAAAACCTCATTGGTTTCAGTATTTTGACTCACCGAGACCTACTGAAGCTGTCAGAAGGTTTTTTAAAATTTTTTCCTTTGCTACAAGTTAAAACTAAGCTGTACAGGACCCTTGGGTTTCCTTTGGTTTTTCTTTCATTTGATTGAATAGAGCAAATCAGAATATTGATTTCTACTTTCTCTTGTTTGCACACAATAATTACCAACCTTCACCTGCAATGCAGTCCAAGCCACAGCTGGTTTCGTGTGTACAGACTTAAACCTCTTTTATATCCAGACTGAATATCTTTCCTTTTTTATATATATATACACACATACACAAACATACATATGTAAATATATATTTGTGTATCTCCACCTTAATTCTAAAGCATTATTCAAGAAACTGAATTTTCAAGTACACAATTTTCTCATCTTACTTAGGTGGCTTACCAGATAATTTAAGTATTATTCACATGCTTAGTGTTTAATCTAAGCAAAGGCTCTTCTTCCTTTAACTTTAGCATGGAAGTTATAACTACCTGGACATTGTATACAAACTTATAAATATTTTTCTTCAAAATGGCAAAACAAGGGACAGGAAAAAATATTTAAGTGTCTCTCAGGGAAAATTCATCACCAAGTTTGAAGTCCTACGTGAAGCTTGCCAGATTCAAAGGGCTGCTAGGCATTTATTTTACCATTCAATTAAGAAATCTGAACTTGCTTCTAAGAGACTCCTCACAACACCAGTGGTAATAGAAAACCACATCAGAATTTTCTTTTATGGCCAGAAACTGAGGTGAACTTACTGTCTTCCTATCACAGATATCGCTTAACTAGTATTTGTTCACCTGGTAATGGATAACGGAGCCACACAAAATGCACGGCAAGCAGAACATCTTCTAAATCTGTGACAGTAAGTTTTGTAAATGATTTGGAACAAAAGATCAACCTAAAAAAACTCAGCTGCAACCAATCCTGCCAGACACAATTTCTAGATTAAAAAAAAAAGAATTATAAAACTTCTGAAAGCTCCTGAGGTGAGTTTCATGTCTTTTATGTTACAATGGCAAAGGCCGTGAGCCAAATGGGAATTTTCACCTTTGCTTGGATGCGAGAGGCTTGTACGGCAGGGTTCACCTCGCCTAACTTCAGACATGTACCACAGGGACCTACACCTGAACATCGTACGCACCATCCCCAGCACTCCAAACAGCCACTTCTGGATCACAATTCAGCTGACCTTGTTGGAAACCTGCTTTAGAATGACAGGAACTGAGCTGTTCTTTCTCTGCACTGACTACAAAAAGCGCCTCAGTAACTAGCTCCAACATGAACGTTACACCGTTCAGCAAGGCTACTTTTCATGGCATTCACTTTATCATGAACTGACGCTTCTGTTTACAGACCACCATTGTTACGCACATTTCACTAAATGCGATACTGCTGGGAGAATCACCGATGGTGGCAGCCCTAAAGTTTACTACCAGACAGAGAAAGCCTACACTGCTGTCGGTGGTACCCGTTCCACAAGACTTCAGGTTTTTGTGTCATCAGTCAAACCTATTGTTCATCACAAAGTACTCCCTTGAAATACTCCCAGTCCTAATAGTCAGAATCTGAAAGAGCCACTGCATCCCGCAGAGAGAGGGGAGGATCTCCTCCACAGGCTGCAGCAGCAGCCTTCAATACGTTTAGGGTAGGAAACAATTCCACTGGATGCTTTGCAATATTAATAAAAATCATTATATGTGGCTTTTTTAATATGCAGATCTACTTTGTCTGTGGTTACTCTGCCCCAAGACTCTAGACATATTCAGCTCTTTCACTTATGTCTATTTATTGAATTCAATGAACTTGTACCTGCAAAACACCACTGTTAATGGTGGTTTGCACTAAACTTCTCTTTCTGTCTTTGCTGTAAAGCAATTGTTCAGGTTAGCCATGTACCGAGAGAAATCTTGTAACAATAAAAAGGCTGTTTAATGTTTTCCCTGAGTTAGTCATATCATGGTGTCATTATGAAAATGAAAACCCAGATGACAGTGATTAAAAATATCTGCTACAGCATGTCCTCTGGATGTTTTTCTTCTTAGATACACAAACTAAATAGATCTGCAAGTCTAGTTTTTGTTCCATACACACAGCATCCCAGCAGAAACTTCTCCCTTCAGAAGGATTTTTTCCAATTTGCATCAGTGGCCTGGTAGAGTATTCTGGGTCAAGTTCTCCACAGAGGCCACGCAGCATGTCTTCACCAGGCTCCTCCAGTAAGGCGTTTCACACCAACCGGGGATTTGTCCTTACTTCTGCTAGAGTCCTCAACCTTCCCAGCTGGGACCTGTGTGCCTGGTCAGTGTCAGGCACATCGAGCCCCCTCTTTCTCGCCTGCACCGTGCAAGACCTGGCTGTCCAGCTGCAGGTCACAGACACAGCACCCAGCCACTCTCACCGTCCCAGGGACCACCAGCCTCCTGCGCTCCAAACCAGCAAGGGGGAAGAGGGTAACCAGCTGGAGCTCCTGCTGGAACGACAAAGGCAGCTCGGGGCTGGCATTCCTCCTTCCTGGACCAATGGATGACCGAACACATAGAGCTGGGACAAAATATTCCTCACGTAGCACCACGAAGTCCCTAGCTGCCACATGGACAAGAAACCCCTGTCTGATGGCTCTGCCCGTTTCCAGCATGCTCTAGGGAAAGGAAAGGTGTCCATGGACTGGGTGGATTTGTCTGGAAACTGTGTGTTATTCTTGATTCCTAATTAAATGATTTTTCTTTACATTGAACGTGTATAGGACATTAAGGTGAGCCTGCATATGGCAGTGAAGAACTCGAACTGTTCCAGAAAATCCTGCAATTGCACACTTAAAAGTACCGCACAGAAGCTAACTACTACCTTCCCACTCGACGACGAAGAAAACGTTCTTCCCCCTTTACTAGTGAGTATATCTATAGATGGTGTAACTGGGCAAAATGACGATTTCCATTCCTGATCATTTGCACAACTACTGGGTTATACTGCTGTTTTCCCAAAACCTTTATGTTAAGACACAATACTAAATGCTAGAGAAATACAACTTTATGTCTCAAAACCCCTGGAGTCCAAGACAGCTGAGCTGCTGGTAAAGAAAAGCAAATCCAATGCCTGGTGCTAATGGTGGCAGGCCACTGCAGAAAACACATCTCCTATTCCAGGAGGCTACTGAAGATGCTTAATGAAATTAATCACACAACATGGATTTTCTTATCTTGTTCAGTGTAGTTTTTCAATTCTTGACAGTTGTTTAGAGGTCTGCCTTGTTATTGCTTCCCCCTCCCCCCATTTTTACATAGAAGTAGGATGCTAATCTCAAATTAATGGAGGCTAAATTACCAAAAAGATTTCCAGGAGTTTTTGTTCTCTTGCCCCCTCAAAATTTTCAGACAGACACTTATCGCCGTGCTGCTATTTTACACTTGAAATTGCATTCTGTACTAAACTATGAGCAGAACTCACTAGTTCACCCCAAGTTAGCATGCTCATAACCATGGTCAAATCGAAGAGTGACTGATCATGCAAAGCAAATTCTCTGCATCACAGCTCTCTGCATTTCTTGTCTCTGAACTACTGTTGCCTGCATAAAGCTGGAAGACACCACATGTAACTCTGCTCTCAGTTCTCAGACCTCAGATTTGTGTAGTTTAAAACAAATACTACCAATAGCTCCTATGAGTCACACTATCCCACGTGAACATCGTCCCAGACTCAGGCTCATGGATTTTCTGTCCGCCTTGTCATTATTCACCCGTAATTCCTCAGCCTGGATGCTGACAGGCAATTACAATTTAAGGTGATCCCCATCACCTGGAGGCTGTACTTTCAGTCTTCCCCAGCTCTCCAGCTAAAAGGAGATTAACTCTCCAGTTAAAATACTCACTATTCTCTTTCTCAAAAATCTGCCTCCTTCAGTTTCCTCTGACCTCACCCCACTAGACATCATCCAGATTCCCCCGTTTGCTGACATCAGCAGTATGTTCGTTAGC